AAAGCTCCTATCATTTCTGTTTATTACCTCTGGACCCCAGAGTCTGGATGGGAGGGAGACAGTCATGCAGGACAAAATTAATGGCTTTGTTTGGAAGTCTCAGATGAGAGAGAGAGAGAGAGAGAGAGAGAGAGAGAGAGAGGGATTGGACTCAGGAAAGCGATGCCTTATCTCGTAAAATCTCACTCACCAAACTAATTTGATGGTCAGATGACTTGGATACTGGCCATTGACCCAAGCAAAAGTCAAAGGCAGGTGACAATGGATCTGTTAGGGAGGAGGCACCAGGAGGAGGCTGCATGGAGCTCCGAGGCAGGGTGACTCTTAATTAAACTCTTGTCTGATGAGCAGCATAACCGGACCGTCAATAACTGCTGACAGATGGATCCAGGTGAGGGGTCAGCAGGAAGGAAAACTGGAGCAGGGAGTTCTGCCCATGTGGATGCTAATGCCCATCAAAACCCCAGACCTCACTTTCCCTATCTCTCCTGTTTCATGGGAATGTATAAATGTCCAACAGGACAGGAGTGCTGGTGGTACACCCTGTTTGTGTTTGTGGAGTGTTTGACCTGGGTACTTCTCTGTGTGTCAAGGGCAGTACACTGGGTACAGTCACACAGGTTGCACACACAGTCACACAGGTTGCACACTGCACAGTCCTTGGACTTCTGAAGCAATGTCCTTGTATCTGGAAATGTATGTGAGTACACACACACACACACACACATATTCACTCTGTCCACATACTTATATATACATATATACTTATATATACATGAGTATATATACACATATATGTATATATAAATATATGTGTGTATGTGGACAGAGTGAATGCCTACTGCAGTGGCCACTTCATAATGTGCTTGAGAAATCTGAAGAATCTTTCTCCTCCAGGGAGGGCTCTGTGTGTGAAGGAGGGGTGGGTGGGTTGGAGATGAAGCTGCACCCCTGTGGAAGAACAAAAACTCACTCCTTACTAGGTGTCCCAGGCCCCCAGCTGCCTTTCCCTTGTAATAAGGAGGGAATAATGCTATTCCTTATTCTTTATTTGCCCAGAGTGCCTATGATTTTCTTTCTTTCAGAATCCAATTTTCTCTTGACATTTCTGCCTGTTGTAGCGAAGCATGACCTTTGTAAGAGGACGTGGCTGGCAGCCTGTTTTCTGCCTGGGGCTCCCCAGAACTCCTGGAAGGCTCTCTGCCTCTTCCTTTCTCGGAAAGGAGCCAGGCTGCCCGGCGTACCTGGGCCAGTTCTGCCTCTAGGATGTCTTGTTCCTAACAGAAGCCTCTCTCACCAGAGGTGTGCTTCATCAGCGGCATGCTTCTCCGGGCTCAGTGAGCACGAGGTCCCCGCAGGCTGCCAGGGCTCAGATTTTTGAAGCGTAGGTTTTGTTCAGTGGAATACTGAAGAAAACTAGGGAACTAAAGGTGCAGGCTGGGAATCTTTCCAGATGTCTGCCAGGATTCTCTCGTGATTTTGAAGTTTAGGAATTGTTTTGTATGTGTGCGTGTGCGTGTGCGTGTGTGTGTGTGTGTGTGTGTGTGACATATATACACATATAGATGAATGCCAGAGGTCAGTCTTGGGTCTCTTGTCTTAGGAACCATACGCACTCTCTTTGGAGTGGGGGATACAATCTCTTTCATTGGAATCTGGAATTCTGTGATTAGAAGCAGCTAGCTAGCTGGCAGTCTTGGGTCTTGTCTTAGGAACCATATGCACTCTTTTTGGAGGGAGGATACAATCTCTTATTGGAATCTGGAATTCTGTAATTAGGTGAGGCTAGCTGGCTGGCAGGCTCCAAGAATCCATCTATTTCTACCTCCCCAGTGCTTGGGTTACAAGTTTGTTCTGCCATACCTAGCCTTTTACTTGCGTTCTGGGACACCATCTCAGGCAAGCATTTCCCTGATGGCACTTTCTCCTCGGCCCCCATTGTTCAAGTGTTACTCCAAAGAATGCTGTTGATGAGAGACAACAAGTGGGAAAAACAGAGACAGTAAAAGGGCTTCTGCCTGGCTGATCCAAGCACTCACATTGGCTGCAACATCACACAGGCTAACAGCAATCAAGACTCAGAGGCTAGCAGACTGGTTCTGAGGCCCATGGCCTGTGATATCAACTTCTGAGCTTGAAGGCTACTGGTTATGTTTGGGCAGTGACTGTGGGAATTTGCTATACCCATTGTTGTTCTGTTCCTCTGAGCAGGAGCCTTTGCTTTGGGGAGCTTGGCCTGGGGGTTACCTGAAATGATCTTGATACAGTTCTTGTGTAACCCCACTTCTTCTCACAGGTGCATGGGTAATGGGAGATGTTTGTAGGAATAAGTCATAGGGGCTTTGTGAAGCATAACCCGATGAATGGCTCAAGATGGTTCTTACTGCCGGGCGGTGGTGGCGCACGCCTTTAATCCCAGCACTCGGGAGGCAGAGGCAGGCGGATCACTGTGAGTTCGAGACCAGCCTGGTCTACAAGAGCTAGTTCCAGGAGAGGCTCCAAAACCACAGAGAAACCCTGTCTCGAAAAACCAAAAAAAAAAAAGATGGTTCTTACTGAACGTGGGATATCACACCAGAACTGTCAACCCCGCAAGGAGGTATGGGAAAGCTGTGCCTATGGGGTCATCCCAGAGAGCTCTTTGCGGGTTCAAGGCCTTTGGACAGAGACAGCAATAAACACAAGGAAGAGAATAGAGCAGCAGACTTGTGATATACCTGTGTGTGGTCTTTTTCCTTTCTACATATGTCCCCTGTACCCTTAGAGATGGGCTGCTTTACCAACATCATCATAAACTGTCTTAGAAAGTTAGCTGGTTTAGGACTGTGTAGGATCCAGTAATATTATCACAGATAAGATGCATCTAAGGAAAAATGGGATGTCCTATTTCTTCCTGTTCTTAGGTTTGAGTATCTGTTCTTGTTTCATATTGAACACATTCTCAATTCTGTAGGTCTCAGTACAAACACATCTCTCCAATACACTATTTGGTTTCACTTTCTAGTTATCTAACTAAGAAGTGGGGAGCGCTTCTGTTAATACATTAACTTTTACTAATAGGTAGATATTACTTGTGTAAATGATGGGTTTATAGCGATGTTTTCAAACCTGCATATAGCATATGAATTTGTTATATCCATCTGCTATTACCTTCTTTTGCCTTTCCTGTTATCTGATCCAAGAGGATCATATTGGTCCAACTGCCCAAATGTGATCTATTAGTAGTAGGCTTCTTCATCTTACATCAACAATATATTAATGACTTTCTTGGTTATGTGATAAAAGGCTTGACATAAGAACTTAGGTAAGAATATTTTGGCTGATGGTTTCAGAGAGTCCATGGTCTCTTGGTCTCATGTCCTAAAGCATCACATTGTGGTGTGTGGAAGGCTGTTCACTTCTTAATAGACAGGAGGCAGACAGTACTACAAGAAGGGGTCAGAGGTAATACATTACTAAGGACATAGCCCTGGTGATCTACCTCTAGTTTTCATGACTTCTCAAACTAGTGCCACCAGCTAGGGAAAAACATTCAAAACACACATATCTGTGGAGGCCATTTCAAATTTCAACCATAATACCCACCACTCAGTTTGCTCTCCTCTTTCCCCAGAGCTAGCTGCAGGTTCTGATGGTGTTACCCCAAGAACTTGCCTTCAACCCATCTCTTCTCTTTTTTTTTAAATTTCTTCTCTCTCTCTCTCTCTTTTGTGTGTGTGTGTGTGTGTGTGTGTGTGTGTGTGTGTGTGTGGAAGCTAGGTAAGGTCTCCTAACTAGCTTGTCAACTTTCAGTCTTGGTCTTCCATTTTGAAAAGCGATGTTTAGTTTATGATACATCCCCACTAAGTGCTCCTTCCCCCATTGCTTTCTGTTGTCTCCTCCCAAGGTCTGTAAATATGGCGGGAGTCCCTCTCCTGCTTATCCAGTTCATCCCTATAACTGTTTCTCAGCTCATTATCATTCTTTCTATTCCAAGGTCTCTTATTAGCTATTAAAGCACCCAAGTGAAGTAGCCAACTCCCAATTACTCTTGTCATTTTGCTTATACTATTCTTTATGTTCATTCATTTATTCATTTGTAATTTGAAGATAAGGTTCCATCTTTTTTGTCAATGGTCTACCACCCAGACCTCAGCATAGCCTATATCTGACTCTTCTACTTGCTGCAGAAGTCACCTAAATATAAGTGCACATGGACGTGTCTGTGTGTGTGTGTGTGTGTGTGTGTGAACAAGAGTATGTATTTGCATTGCTACCTGTGTGCTTAATAGATTCAAATATACACATGTTTGTGTATGGATGGATAGTTATCTAAATGGAACCCTCAATACCATCCATTCCCATCAGCCAATGAGTACATTGTTCCTGGGTTGCTACTTCATTTCTTGCTGTGCCTAACTACTGCCTTTAAGGGCTGTTATCACGTCCAAAGTTGTTTGTTGAGCCGGGCAAAGTAATAACTGTGGGCGTGTTGCCTCTTTTATTCAGAAGACTAATGGCTGCTCCCTTCCCCTGTCCATCCTAATGAGAACAATTAAATAGCCATTAGGAGAAGAGATGTGTGAACAAAAGCCTGATGTCTTGATCTCTGGAATGGGCATGTGTTCTTGGGGAGGGGTGGGTAAGAAGTTTCAAGGAACCTGAAGATTCCCTGCCTGTGTGGATGTAAAGGATCCTGCGGGCTTGGTTACCTCCAGGACTATTGTTTAGAGAAGGCTGCTTCCAATAGGCTCCCTGAGGTTTTATTAGAGGGCAGCGTGAGTAAGCAAGAGAACCATATTGTTTCTTGGATGTGTGAAACCTTACCCTGGAGAAAGGCTTCAGCATCCCCTTCACAGCTGCCCAACGGTCTCAACTCTTAGCAGGCTTATCCTTTGCAAAACTGGGTGAAGAAAAAGAAGTGCACCAACGCCTGCCTCAGGTGACTGAGTCCTCCACGGAGGGCATCCCTGTTGCTGGCTCTGTCCTTTATCTACCCCTTTATTTGTCTATTTTTGCAGAAACTTGTCAAGTAACCGGCTCACCACGCTCTCCTGGCAGCTCTTCCAGACGCTGAGTCTTCGGGAATTGTAAGTTCGGAATTGGAGGCTCTGTCCAGGTGGCGGAGTGCTGGTAATGGTCGGGTGGGGAGGAGTGTCAGGCATTGGAGTGCCTGGTGGCTGGGCTGTTTGGGTTGGGTAGCACTGAGCATACCATGTTCAGTGACAGTGATCCACCCCCATCCGTGGACTTGACTTTCGATGCACACTCTGTTTCAAAAGACAGAAGCTCATCTTTTATCAGCCTTTGGTTTTGTGATATACAGGCAATTAGCAGTGACAATTTTAATATCCATAATAAAGATATCAATAAATTTCTAATAAATATTATTTGCTATACATAACTTTGTAACTTTATCAGGCATGCTTTTGTTTATATGATCTTAGATTTAGCATAATAAGAGTTAGGGAAGGTAGCTATAATTTTCTGCGTTTTGTGGACTCTAAGTCCTAGGAACCCACTCAAGAATCAGCTACAGTTGCACTGCTAAGGACTTGCATAATTGATACTTGAGCATGGCCTTCCAGCTTCAGACAGTGCTCATGAGCTCATATCAACTCATTTGGCTTGGTGTCTGAGCATTGTGAGCATGGAAGAGGGCATATATTTATTTTATCTGTGTGTGGACTGCTCAGCTTTGCTACATTCCAAGGTTGATCAGTGCACTCTTACCCCAGCCAGCCATTTTGTGCAAACAGATGTTGGCTGGATGACCACTGCTGGAGACAGGAGAAAATAACTCATGCTGCTGTGTGAGTCATCAGGGTCCTCTCTGTGCATGAAGGACCGTGTATTATGAGGAGGGAATAAATCAAGGAAATTGAAAAGGAACTGAGGCATGGATGGAGTTAGGGAGTCTGGGTTTAAGAGAGACTGCTCATGTGTTCTTTTTACTTGGTGACTCAGATCCAAATTCCCTGTCTGTAATCACAGCATTTACCAGGAAGCAAAGACCTTGGACCTCTGCCTTGGCTATGGGCCTTTTACCTTCTTTTTCCACCTGGCCAGACCTATGTTCATGGATAAGTTATAACCCTGATTTTTCAGATCAGACTCATTACCCTTGACAGCTTTGCATGTTATCCTTGGTCTTGTGGCCTGACTGTTCACATGATCCTTTCCTGAACCATCTCAGAAATGGATAGAGAGAGATGATCATTTTGAAGGTATTGCTAACTGGGATTCCCGGTAGTCTCAGTACCTGGAAGGTAAAAGCAGAAGGATCAACAGTTGTGGTTTAGCCGAGCTACATGAGTTACAGGCTAGTCAGTCTGGGCTGCACAGTGAGACCTAGTCCAGAAACAATGGACACTATTACCATATACTGCTTTCCTTTTTAGAATTGTGTCCCTCCCTGCTAGGCTCTGACTCTGATATTCTGGAACAGGCAGCAGTAGACCTTGTAGCCAGAGTTCTTAGTCCCATTCGGTTGAGATCTAGATGGGCACCAGTAGGCTCTTTTAATAGCTAAAGAAAGGTAAACAAATTCGTATTTATAAAGCATTCTCCCTAACAAACTTTGTCTCTGATCTCTAATGTCAGAGATGCCATCCTTGTATTCTACTCATTCCTACCCTGAATTAGATGTAACTTCATGGAGGCCCTTAGGGGTAAGTTGGCATGGCCACAGCAATGATTACTATCACTGATTTCCTAACTCTTCCTTTGTGCCAGGCACTGTGACAGCAATCTATTGAATTATGTATGCTATTTGATTTAATCCTTAGGACAATTTTGTAACGTAGACATTCTCACTACCACGCCACATTGGCGGACACTGGATTACTTAGCAAGGGAAGACTCTTATTTTAGGCCACCCATGAGATGAGCAGTAGCGTGTAGACTCAAAGCCTGGACCACTGTGCTTAACTGTCCTCCACCATTTTTCAGCCAGTTAATATATCCTACAAAAGGCATGTGGCTACGAGTCTTTGCTAGGTGTCTCTCTGCATCAGTTACATTTTTATTGCTGTATCATTACATATTTTCTACTGTGCAGATAAATTATAGCTTTGCTTTTCCAGACCAGTAGGTGGAAGTGAGACTGACAAGATACACAAAAGGGAAGAAGGGTCTGTGTTAGCTTACATCTGGACAGGATGTAGTCCGCCATGGTGAGGAAGTCATGACCACAGGTGTATGGTGAGGAAGCAGAGAGAGATGAACGCTATGCCCCACTTAACTGTTTCCCTTTTACTCAGCCCAGGACCCCAACTCGTGTAATGGTGCCGTACACATTTTCAGGCATGTCTTATCTCCTCAGTTAACTCAATCTATGAACTCCTTCATAGACAGATCCAGAGCATGACTCTTAGGTGATTCTGAATCCAGTCAAAATAAACATGAAGATGAAGCAGGTACTAGTTAGTTTTCTGAGATAAAGCACTATGAGCCATGTAGCTCATAAAAGGAATATCTGGGTCTTATCGCTTCTGAGGGATAGGAGTCCATCACCAAAATGGAGTGGAGCATTACAGCTGGCAGTCAGTCATGACACTAGAGGAACAACAGAAAGCCAAGAGAATGCACTGGGATGATTGTGGGCTTTGGAAACCTAACCTTACCCCAGTGACACACCTCCTTCTGCAAGGCCATTCCTTCTAACTCTTCTCAGACAGCCACCAATTGGGAACCAAATTTTTAAATGCCTGAGACTTTGGGGGACACCTCATTAAAACCACAACAAAGCATAATGACCTCAAACTGATTAGGGGTAGAAAGTCTGCCTTTTTGCATCTAGTTCTCCTAGAATCTCTGCCTCTCAACCTAGCGGAGTCCAGAGACAGTATCCCCCCAAAAGATGTCAGGGTCTGCTAGAGGCTGAATCACCGAGAAAATGTCCAGTGTTCTTTCTAAGAAATCACGGGTTATGAAATCAGTGGTGTGCCGCCCTGCCGCCCTGCTTCACGGAGATTTAGAAACAGTTGTTCTGTGGATATATATTTAAAGGAAATGTCACGTTTCTCCCAGAGGATCATGGGATTCTGCATTCTTCTTTGCCTGGGATCAATACACTGGTGAACTGGATAAAACTTATGGAGGAATGAAGACATTCCTTGCAGAGTGAGGCAGTGTGTGAATGCCACCATACCCAAACAGCATTTTGTTTCTGTCATCGTCCTAAATCAGAAAAAGTCATATTGGCGGATGAAGAAGCTCCTCTCTAAGGAGCAATCACGCTGGTAGGGGTCTAGTGTTTGAGGAAGAATTGAATGTTGAGAGTGGAAAATTTATCTTTGGGCTGGAGGGGGCTGTGCATTGGCTCTCAGCTGTGGCTATGATTAAAATCCAAACAATCCTTTTCCTGGCAAATGGAAGAGGGGGTAGGATTTTCTTGTCTGACTCCTTGATTAGTCCACATGGCACCATCTGCCCGTGAGCCATCTAGACTGCCAGGGTCTGCTTAATGGAGCCCGTGGGATGGGGTTCGGGGATATGTCCGATGTTGTTGGGAGGAGATTTGGCCTTGCAGGAGAGGGACTCAATGCGCAGTGATAGCCAGGAGAGTCACAAGCCAGGCGAGTGAGATTTCCAGTGAGTGTCTGCAGAAACAGACAGGGTAAACGGGATAGTTAGCCATTTCTTGGCACATCTCCTTCTTCCATGAAGGCCCTTTGGAGGGTCTTTGCCATGCCCCAATCAACCTCTCTGCTATGGCACAATCTGTGATGTAACAGTTGATGCTGTGGTGGACATAGTTGAGCCCCTTGTTAGAAGTATGTGTAGCATTCCATCAGGAAAGAAGAAGAAAGACACTCATTGAATAATTAATATAGACAGGCTTCTGGCTCATCCTTGAAGCTACCCTACAAGGCAGTTGCTATTATAACCTGTTTTGCAAATAAGGGATTCAAGGCTGAGCCAAGTCAAATAACTAGACCAGGATCACATAGATGGTGAAATGGTAATTTGGAGACTAATGTTATCATGTTTAGGATGACCACCACCTGAAAGCACTGTTTCCAAAATTCATTCTCTTTCAGCTCCCAACTTAGTGCCATAATCTGAATGTTTAGCATGTCCTTCCAGGAGCCAAGGTGGCTGTCTCCCCTGATTGGAGCCATAGGAAAGCCGAAATCACCTCAGAGCTCTTGCTGTGTGCCAATACCCTTCTTGTACTTTTAATTTTGTGAGATTGGAGGGAGGACTTTTGGCAAGCGCCTGACTCAGTCTCCCTCCAGCTTAGGAAGTGCCCTTCCTACTGAGCGAGCTGAGAGTATCTTCTGAGCTTTGGTTGATTTGACAGAGTCTGGCTTGGCATTGTACTGTATTCAGGAGTTTCTGGTTAAGGCAAGATGCTACTATTTTTTTTTTTTCTCCTGAAATTAGAACTGTCTGTCCTAAAATCAGCAAGATTCTGAGAGACTGTCTTAGAGATAAAGGATGAGTTAGGAAGAAAAGTTGCTTGAATTTTGAATCCCATGGTGCACCTTAAGTGATGGCAAGAGGTACCAGAGGTATATCAGCCCACACCATAGAACCCTTCAGAAAGACTCTGAGGATCGTGAATACACAATGAGCAGACTTCTCTTAATACCCCGCAGGCATGGAACAGACACGATTGAAATAGATTGGAATATTTCATTTTCTTAAAGCAAAGTGATAATTACCTCTGTTATAATTTGCAGATTTAATCGATTTGGTAAATACTAACTCAGTGTGGAAGGAGGCTGGGCTGCTCCTGGCACTGTCCTTCCTCCCAGTCTTGGTTGTGATGACTTTGAAAGCTGTCAGACAAGACTCCAAGCTGTTCCATCACTAGTGCTATTGCTGCTGTGGTCATTTCTGGCTTCTTTATGACTCCCTTTTAATCCATAAAGCGTGGAGTCACGAATTAGCACTAACGTAGAGAAACGAGGAGGAACACACTCATCTCCATCTTACAGACTTTAAAGTTGAGTATTCGGAGGAGGAGACTCTGGCAGTCCCATTTCTGGTAGTCCCTGCAAACCTGGCCACTTCAAAACAACAGAAATGTTTTTGCTCATCGTTCTGAGACCAGCGGTCTGAGTCGGTATTATCAGAGGCC